CGTCTGTGTTGAGACATTCTTTTGAACAGTGGCTGCTTTGTTTCCCCGATGTATAACTGGTCGCAGTCCTCCTGTGCTTAAAAGCCTGAATTTTGCCTTAAACTCTCAGACTGAAGAAGTCTCTTGGAGGAGAGACGAAACGTTTCATTAGAGAAGAACCCGTCCAGAAGACCTATACATTTTTTTTCTTTTTGATTTTTTACCTGGATTACTGAGATGCATCAGGACAGTCTAAATGACGTATTTTTTTAGATGTGGTGTCCTTGTGATATTTTGGTTCAGGGCTTTAAAAAATCCATACCTATAGATATATTGTGACTGGATTTGAACTTTGTTTCTCAAACAGGCCTTGATCTTTCAAAAAAAATGTCAAAGTTGTATTTTTGTGAAAAATGGTCATGGCCCATTTGAGTAAGAAAAATCCAGTAGAAATCCATGTAACAACTGAGACAGATGCAGTGAGATGCAAGCTGTCAAAATAGATATGGAAACCATCTTGTGTTCAAAATCTATCCACATAGTTTCAGTTTCTGTTTATTTTTACCCGTTTTTTGCTAAATGTGCAGATTCTTGCATAGATCTGTTTGCACACCGTTTCATGACTCCCCACATGTGCAGCACATGACTGAAGCAACACCAAAGACCCTGGTGTGTGTCACGTTAGGCCATAATCCCACCTCACAGTCTGTACAGCTGCAGGTTTGGACGGAAACACACTTAACTTCTTCGTTATGTTCAGCTCTTTACCAGGCTCACAGGACTGTAGACTCTTCAGGACTGGAAAAAGTGACAAAATATTCAAGCCTCCTGTGAAGCCTTGAGGGCAAATTCTTTAAGCGTGAAGGCAAAACAAAAAGCCCTCCTTACACACAGGTGGCGTTTTATGCCTCGTCGTTGTCATTCGGACCGGCGTGCGATTATTGTCTGATAAATACAAAAATTCTAAAAGCCTGAGGATGATAGTTCAACACTGTGTGGCACAGCTGCCTAATTAAAGACTCAGAAAAAAGCTTGTGTCGACTTGTTTGAAAACACTCAAAAACAGCTTGAATAAGTAAACTGGTCGGAGTATGTGTTGAGTGTAGACCAAATCATCAAATATTTTGCTAACAGACAACCAAAGCTGACTTGAAGTGTTGTTAAAAGTTAATCAGTTGAAGATGTACATCCAATGATAATTGTATTTTTTTTTTCATTAAAATTTGTCCACTGGTTCATGACATCTGCACATCATCTTTCACCATTTGGTGGCCGGTGATTCAAAATGGCTTTACCGTTTAAATAATTTCAAATTGCATGTGCTGTATGAACTAAACCAGGGCTATTCAATTAAATTGCTTCAGGGGACACATTTACTGCAGGGCAACAGTTCAGGGGCCAAACATCCAGCAATTAAAGTCATAATGTAAATAAAGCAAGTATGACAAAAATCTGTTACCTTTGAATTAATTTACTTTGCTGCATTTAATCATGAGTACAACATGCAAAACCCATTGCAATGGAGGTAGTGCAATTCAAATAATATCAAAAACAATAACACATTATACCTCCTATTATATCATTATTTTATTTTTACTTATGTTTTTCTTCATATGCTTGTAGTTTTAACTGTCTTGGGTGTTCATATAAATGTTTCTGTAGATACCACGTTTTTATCCAGATTTAATGATAATTTATTTAGTTGAAACCAATTTTGTATCTTCATAAATTCTGTCTGCATCATCTTTAACAGTCGTTCTATATCTTTTCCCAAACAAAAGAAATTAGTATCATCTGCAAACAAAACACACTTGAAAAACCCTGACATATTTACCAAATCATCTATATATAAAATAAATAATTTTGGGCCAAACACGGAACACTGAGGCACACCACATATAATATCACAGAGTCATGTCTATGTCTAACTAAAAGAACTTGTAAAAATTAAAGTAAAAAACCAGGGTTTTGAGCTTAAGAGATTATTGAACCAGTTGAAAGGCCAGATTTTGGTCACCCGTGGGCCAGATGTGGCCTGTGGGCCGCCAGTTGAATAGCGCTGAACTAAACTATTGCCACTTCTTAGGAAATTATTATGAAACCGTACAGTGCATGTGAGTGAGCAGTCACTCCCCCAGTGGATCCCAGTCTCCAGTTTTACTGGGTTTAGTGCTGAATAATGGAAACAATCCTCCAACCTGCTCACTGATCAGTTTCTCAGCTGTCGTCTGTTTTTGACGTTATAGCTTCAACAACCTGCAAAGAAATGGTGCCAGATTGAAAAACGAACCACTTTCAGTCAGTCGGGGTGAAAACCTGGAATTATGGTTTAATTTTCCCCGTCGAAGAGCTGAGATTCAGTTTTTCTCGCTCTCGCCACTATATCTAACCTGTGATAGATCGGATTCATCACAGGAGCATGTCAAAGACTAAACCCTTAATCCCTGATATGAAGCCTGATTCAGGCTGCTTATGCTGTTAGTGAATTATTAGGTTGTTCTAGCTCTTGATAAAATTGAACTGAAAATAATACCAAAGCCAATTCTAACTTTACCAGTTCTGCATTTTAAATGTGCTCCGCAGATCTGCAGAAGCCGAACTGAATCATGGCA